ATCAGAAACTTTACATATTTCCAAATTTTTATTGAATTTTTATGGCTTATTTTTGCGTATCTATACTTTATTATCTTATTATTTATTACTGATTTATTACATTTATTACTGAGAAGGTTTTAGTTTATACGCCCCGTTTTTTGATTTAGTTTTTGACGTGTTCAACCTATTGCTTCAGAGAAATTCATGTGAGGCATACAGAGAACGTTCGCTACATATATTGAAATGAAATATTTGAACAGTAATTTTTCAATTACTTAAAATCTTAAATTAAATTTTTAAAATCAGTTTTTATTTAACTAATAAACATAACATAAAATTAACGTTGTTATTAAAACCGTAGTAATAGTAAAATCTTATTATTGTAAAATTTATTTCTTACCACAAGGGACTAAATTATTATTCATCAACGAAAAATATAATGTAAAAAAAAATGTTCAACTTTTTAATTTAGTTGTATGGAAAATGATACCTACTTGCCTCTATAGTCTAATTCCAAGAACACAAGTAAGGCATCCTTTGCAGGATGTCTATGCAGGAGTAACCAACACATTGGCAAACTAATAACAAAGCTCAGCGAGTCCTGCTTTAAAGTTACTCCCATCGTAGGGAGTTGAAATTAAAGCAGAAAGCAACTTTGTTTCAGAAAATATAAATATTTAGGTACTACATATATATCGATATACATATATATATTACATATATATATATGAGTATATATGCAGCGTGCAATTTTAGTAAAATTTTATGATTTCATTTTGTTCAATGCTTAATTAAACAAATTTTTTATAAAAGATTGGTATATTTTGAATATTTCATGATGTGTTATTTGATTCTTTGGTTTTTAATTGCATTTATGTTAACATGAGCGCACACCGAGTATTTGTGGTCAGATATTTATTTGCATATATTTTGCGTATTCATTTGTTTTGGATCCAACTTGTATGTTTCTGATGTATTTATGTTGCTTTTAATTAACATTTCTTGCAATGAAAATTCAGACCACTAAATGAACATCATTCGCATTCTATAAAATTTAAAACATCATAGGTGATTGTATGCAAATCTACATGATTTGGAAATTGTGTTCAAAAGCAGCTCAATTAAAAGTAAAAACAAATTTTGTACTCATGTGCATATATATATATATATAAATAAATATATAATAATTAGTTTTGTGTACTTTCATAAGAGATACAGAGCAAACTATATTGGTATTAGCTATTTTAAACCTAAAACGGATTTTATACAACTAAATAAAAGAAACAAGAAATAATTAGAGGGCATAATTCGATAGGGCACTATCAGGGTTAAACTATCAACTTACAAAACTGGAACCTGATTCAAAATGAACTAGTAGGTTTTGTAGAGAAGAGAATAAGACGACTTCTCTTCTCAATTCTTCAGAAAGTGTCTCTGCGGCGTGCGTTTCGTCTCTAGCGTCATGCATAAAATGCAGTAAGAGCTAGCAGGTTTTGTAGAGAAGAGAATGAGACCTTTTCTCTCCTTTTTTTTCAGAAAGCGTCTCTGTGGCGTGCGTGTTTTTTCTAATCTCATGCATAAAGTGCGTTAAGACCTCTTTCGACTTGATCACTAGACATAGTCCAGTATAGTCTCTATTTTCATTACATTACATCTTAGATCAAATGCTGCTGCAAACAGTTTTTCATGCATCGTCAAGATATATGACAGCATTGTCATACATGTTGAAGATATGACCAAGCCAGCGAAAATACTGTAAATAATTCTATGCACAAAGTCACGTCAACTCCACTTCCTCCACGTCAACTTCTAGGGGGTCAAAAAATTTATGAATAACGTCTCTTAATAACATCTCAATAAAAGCTCTTAAGTTCTTAATATTTTCAGAGCTGCTTCATCGTCTTGTGCAAGTGTATATGCCTTTTCTCTATACAGCAACGTTTTTGCTTTATTAATGAAAAACCAATCGTTTACAAGTTTCATCCGTTGAGACAGAGCCTACTTACCCCGGAATAGCACCTATTAGCAATGGTATTTCTTTGTGTGATCTGCATGTTTATATCGTTGTTGTTGGTTACCGCAATGGTAAGAATAAATTAAATCCTTCATAATTTAAATTTTCAAAGTATAGTTGATAGCAACCAACTTGGCGCCGATTTCTGTCAGTAATCAAAATATAGTTCATTACATATACTCGCACAATATATATTGAAGTAAAATTTTTATTTAGATTAAAGTTAATCTATGTATATGTCTATCTCTGCAAAAAAACATAATAAGTTAATCAGTGTTTATGTCTATCTCTACAAAAAGATATAATGAGAAAATTGTAATGTTAAAAATACATTAAGAGAATTTTTAACAGTTTTCAGTTATGAATTATGTTATTAAGATTTACATAACATCAAGGCTTCAATATGTTATTCACATATTTATGGTTGAACTGTTATAAAATAAGAAAACAAATATTAATACAATTAAATAAATTAGAACAAAACTTCATTTTATTTTAATTAAACATTAATAAATTAAAATTAAAAGTTATTTATTTTTACGAAGCAAACCATTAATTCAATACATAACATTTTGTAAAATCTATTCTAAAGTAAAAGCTGATACATTTTATATTATTGTTTTATATTTTTAATTATCAAATATTATCAATTTTGCTTTAAAAATATTTAACATCTAAAACCATTTATGAACTTCATCGCCTCTTGTATATATTCCTCCTATTCGATGCGTACACATGTGTGGCAAATGTGTTTTGGGTTGCAGTTACAAATCATCTTCGTCATAAATTCAAATACGGATTTGTTGCTGCATTTTCCAAGTAGGACAACAACAAACAAAAAAAAAAGAAGTGCTGTTGGGAAGATAAATTCTTTGAGTACTTGTGTGTATTAGTCAGTAAAAACATTGAAAGTCTTGTTGTTTGCAGTATCTGTGCGCCTAGTTTAACATTCAGTATCAAAAAAAATAATTTCAATTTTTATTTCTAAACAAAATTTTTGGTAAAAAACAAAAACAACAGTTTTTACTTTTTTAATTTAAACTTGAATTTTAATATTTATATTGGTTTCATTTTGAGATTTAGCAGGACAATGTCTATTTTATTCTATTCTATTCGGATTTTATAAAAGAATTGCAATTATTTAAAAGAAATAAAAATAATAATATAATGATATTTCATATTGTGAAAAACTAATGAAATAATAAATACAAAAATATGTAACAAATATATTTTATTTATATATAAATTAATACATTCCCTCAAAACAAGTTGAAAAAAAGCTTTTCAACCTGACATCTCTTATTCATAAAGGAAATAAATAAAAAGCGAATAAGTCTCCAAAAGCTATTGCGTATTCACCACACTAGATATGTTGTAAAAATTTTTAAATGATAAGGCAGTAAAATGTGTTTACTACAATAAAAGTAGTAATGTAACAGTGTTAAGCTTATTTGAAACAAAACAATAGCAAAAGAAATGTTGGCTTGCAGAGCCTATGGGAAACTAGAATGTCAACATGCAGTCCAAAAGGCGTCAGAATATAGAAATATGACAGCAACGTTGGGACTTCGATAACCGTGGATGATGTACAGTCAGAAAAAAAACTGGTTAGTAAGGAAAATTGGAGAAGTCAGTTACTACTTCACTCTATTCCTGGCTGGCCAAGAATACTTTAACAGCTACCTCTACGTCATAAACAAGGTAGAGCATCCAAATTACAAATATTATAGAGCTGAGGACAATAACGTTTTTTGGGCACAAAAAGTGACTAGCTTAACGAGAAGTGCTAGCAACATAAGTTGATGCTTTCTCTCCATGGTAACACGAAAAATGTTTGAAACAAAGTAAACTGGTGTGGTGTTGCAATGTTCGCTAAAAAGATTCTGAGGCTAAAAAAATGAGCAGCTGAACTATATATCAAGCAAACAGTTGTATCAAGCAAAGAAGAAGAACAAGGGTAATCATTAGAAGCAGTAGCGGGCGTGGATGCATGTTATAATGACGGAAGTTTTAAATTACTGATAGAGACCCTACCCTGAAGTAATATTTTCATAGTCTCAGGTTAAGACAAGGTCTTTAGAAAAGAAGGGGTTCAGTCATTCGGCACGCACTTTCCGAGAAGTCATATTATGGTTAGTGTGTAAGCTCTCTCCTTTTCTCTGCAGAACAAATAATGAAAAATTATATCAATCAATAAAATATGTAGTACTTGAATTAGTATGTGTGGACTATATCGCTCTTGGTTCATCTTTTGTAGTAATATAAATCTAATTTCTATATGCCTGCAGTAAGTACTGATCGTAATTTACGGATCTATATAGTTCATATCATAATTAGTGATTAATTTTAAATATATTATACTTTTATAATTCAAGCCTATTAATAAAATAAGACAATATTATTTTAACAATTTCCCATTACAAAAATTAAATTTATTTGCATCAATTAAAATTTTACATTAATTAATTATTTAATTAAGCAGTTTAAAGAACAAATCATTTGTTTCTTTTTTAATTTGTTGTTTTTTTTTGTTTTTTAGTTTTTGTTTTACATTTATACACTCATACAATGATCACATATGTATTACATAAATTTACATACACATTTACATAACTTTAACACATCGATAAATTAATATAATTAAATTCAACACTTAATGAAAAATATTTTCAAATTATTTTCGTTACATTTTCTTTATTATAAACATTTATACATAAACATTTATTTAATTTAATTTAATTAATTCAATTAATTTAATTTAATTCAATTAAAACATTTATAATTTTTCGAAATTGATAATTCTATTGTAATTTTAATTAATATAAAAAATATTTATAACATTCAGTCATTATATCACATATATAAATATTCCATTTAATAAATGAAATACACATTACAACAATTAAAGATCATTAATTTGTTTAATTAACCTAAAGTAAGCAACTTAATTCAAATTTAGAGTCTACAACTAATTTTTTAACTTAAGAAAACTCTCTTTTCGGTACTAAAACGATTAACTATTCTCGTAAAATTTAATTTTGTCTAATTTTTTCAGTCGCACAAATTTAATAAATTTTTGCCTACTGCTAACTGCGATACTAATTCTGTGAAAAACTTAATAAACAAGTTTGTTTATTTATGAGGTACATAATAATACATAATAATTAATAATACAAGCAAAATAAAAACAAGTAACTATTAACTGCTATATACACATTCAGTATAAGTTTGCACATTTCAACTAAATTTGTCTATTTTGCTAGATTTAAATTTATCTCTTAGTACAAATTTCTTTAAAATTAAAAATTATTGTTTGAACACGAACAGTCCCGTCGGATCCCAGTCATTGTCGTCATTGGGTCCGAAACACTCATCGAAGTACCATTCCATAGTCTTGTAGACATGGCTCAGCGATTTTGTTAGTGCATGGTTGTCGTCAGGGTAGATCTGATGTCTAAATTTAACTTGTTGATCAACCAATGAACGCACCAGCATTAAAGTGTGTTCCTGGTGAACAAAAGTATCTGCTGTTCCATGCATAAGCATCAAATTGCGATCTTTGATATTGCCTGCTTTCATAGTCAAATCAGCCTCCTGTAGTGCACGCAAATAATCGCCTCTAAATGGTATGTAACGCTCTGTGAAGAAGGAATCTGCGAAAAGATAAGTGATTTTAATTTTTCTATATTGCATCTTTCTATATTGTCTATATCTACTTACAATGATAGCCGAACGATACTAAAGGATTGATTGCTACAGCACATTGTAGCACTTGTTGTGAGTCCTCAATTAGTGCCATAATTGTAGCATAGCCACCATAACCCCAACCAAACGCACATATACGTGAAGGATCCACAAATTTTAAATTATCTCGCAGGTATCTGCATCAAACATCAGTCAAAATATTAGTTTTTTTATTTACATATTTCTAACATATTTTATTTATATTTATTAGAATATCTAGTTTTTAATTGTAACTTACGTTAATACGCCAAGTTGGTCCTCCACCTCAACTGTGCCCAATTTTCCATGCACTTGGGTGCGCAATAGTTCCCCCTGATATCCACTGCCACGCGCATCGATTTGTGCTACAATCATTGAACGTTGGCTACTTAAATACCAATTCCAGTCAACGTCAAATTTTTCAGTAACAGATTGAGAACCCGGTGCAGCATCACTACGGATAAAGAGAATAAATACCTTCCCTTTGAGTTTGTTTCTAATATATTTGTACTTACACATGTAAAATAAGTGGAAAAGCAACTTCGTCATCCTCACGCATACCAGGTGGTAAAAAGAGCCTTACTTGTGCATGGAATCCATGTCGTATTTCAACGCTGAATGTCTTTATCTGTGGTATAGCCAATTGCTCAAGGCGGTGGCGTAAATCCGCTCCGGAATCCAGCACAAAAATCTTTGTATTGCTATGAGTTTCAACTAAATACACACTCGGCGAGTCTGGTCCCAGGCACTCTTGTACATAATAAGAAAATTTCTTACTAAAATAGATTTTATTATATAAACAATTTTTAGGTATTTTAAAAGTGTTATCCTCGTCCTCTTCATCGGAATCGTTGCTATGGTGTTCGCCACCTGTGTTAACTAACTTAAAAGTAGAAGCAGTATTGTCACATGTCAAGCAGGTCGGTGTTGAGGAAGCTATGTAGGTGCGATTTGTTTCAGTAATGTTCAGTTTCAGGCTGATCTTGTAGAGGTGCCTTTCAGCAGGACGCTTCTCAGGAGCAGCCATGAAATAAACAATTTTATTAGTTTCATCCCAGCCCACAATTTCAGTAACTTCAAAACGGCCCATTGTTAGTGGTACCGTGCGTCGATCAAGTGAAGATATGAAGACAACATGTCTATAGTAACCATGTTCACCATCACGCACCGGAAGACGTTTTAATAGAAATCCACCTTTTATAATTTCAAAGGTTCTTTGACCATTAGTCGTATTTTGTTGTGTATACATACTGTTTTGTACATTATTGCTGTATCTTAAATTAGGTACCTGCGCTATTAGGTGTATTGAGAATATAGGAAACTCTGCTGGTAGCACCCAACCATTATCGATTGTTGTTTCAGTATGCAGTACTTGACAATCAAAGTTTGGTGCTCTACAAAAAACTGTGCTAGCTTTTGTTTGTTCTCGATTTGTGACGGTAAGAGAAAGATCGATTGCTGTAGCCCAAACAAGACTACCGATGTAGCTGCCATTGTTCATATCAGCTGGCAGTTTAATTGGTATGAGTACGATGTCATGAAGGACGGAAAGGTTAACTACATTGACGGTGATGTTGGGATTTATGGCACCAGCTTTTGGATATCTTTGAGTTCGAATTGTGGGATATTTGATTCCTTCACCCATCCATGTATATCTGCAAATAAGTTTTAAGAATATGTTTTATAATGGGTTGAGGTTATGAAAACTGTGTAAAAAATATTCGGTTTTTTACTTGTGTATATAATGTTTCCTGAGATCTTACCCTACAGTTAAAAAATTGTTTCCGTTTTTTGGATTTTTTTTTTGCATATAATTTATAAAATAATTAATTATAATTATTTTATTCAGTAATACGTAATCTTAAACAGATTAGAACAGTAGTTCACTACAAAATATGATAACGAAAAATGGTGCGTGGTAGAAGAGACATTCTCATAAAATTAAATATTCTCAATATAATGAGGTAGTGATATACGTTAAATCTGTAAAAAAATTGACATTTCCTACATATTAGAGATAGATGAACATTTTCTAAGGATATCAGTTTTGAATTATAAAAACATTTAATTATTTAAACATTTAATACATCATTAAATAAAAGTATATTTAATAGTAACTCACTGAAGTGGTTTGGTTGAGTCGTTTGGGATATATCTGGTGTTCTCTGACTGTACATTTATTACGGATAGAGATAATAAATATAAGTAATAAGTATTGAAAATGCTTTTTCCTGTCTTTGACACTGAAATCAGGAAAACATCTTCTAACGTTACGTTCTTAGGGAATATGTCGTATATAAATTTATAAGGAGCTGCATGCAAAGTATAGTGTGATATCACAAAAATTTGATTATTTTAAATAAAGTAATTTTATTTTTATTCGTCATAATAATATTTCACTGATTTTCTGTATAAAAAGTAATTACGAATAATTAATACCTAAAACTTTTACTTATTTGTCTTGAAGGCAAATCATTTCAATATTTCAAAATTTATAACTTTATAAAAAAGGTTATCTTCATCTAGGTTTGTTTTATAATTTCTCAAAAAAAAATTCAACAAGAAGTCTTATAGTTTCCCACATCGACACCTCTGTGTAATTTCAACCAATTAATTATATTTCAACTTCCATTAACCCTAGTCATCTACCAACAACTGTCGCACACTTTCACCAAGAACACCGAAAAACTATAATTTTCTTTAACACATCGTAAAATAACTTCAGAACTGAACTTACTTGTACTCATCAACGGCACTGTCGTTAAATGTTAGGAACGCCATAAACAAGCCATCTGGCGAAAATACTATATTACTATGCTGAGCGCTGAGTTCAGGTACATGCTCGTAAGTCCAATCCGGAATGCCATTGTACACTACATCAGACTGACCTGTTGATTAGTACAGCAGCAGTAGTGAAATATAAAAACCATTTAATTCATAAATTTATTATTAAATTAAACATTAAGTTGACTACAGCAGGATTTGAGGGGATGAGGAATATAAAAGCACAAAAGGCATTTAAAAAAATTTTTGGTGAGGACAAAATAGGGGAAAATTAAACATTTTGTAGTGCTGGAACACACCTGTTGTGGTAATGCGACACACCAGCTCGCCTTGAACCTTGGGCTTGTAGTAAATATCATTTTCGTACACAAAGGCGATGGCTTGGTTTAACGAGTCGTCTGCATGGTTAGCATTTGACTGAGTTGGAAAATTAAAAGGTGTAGATTTACTGGCTTCGTGTTCTGCTGTCATCGCTGCTGCTACAGTTGCCAAACTGTTCAGCAAGCCACCACTGCCCGTGGCGGGGACTGAAGAAATTGTGGGCATAGTATCTGTTGCTAGTAGGCTAGATTTTATTGTTGCTGTTTCTGTTGTTGTTGCTGTTGTTGTGGTTGTAAATTTTTGTGCAGTTATACTGCTAGGAAGCGTAGATTGAGGTTTGCTTGTAGCTAATGCAACTGTAGCTGCATCCACAATATGTGAGCTAGTGGGTGCCCATATCACATATTGCAAGCGTGGTGCATCACCTGAATTTTCTGTTGGTCCCAAAGGAAATGTATTTGCAGTTTGTACTTCGTAAACATGATTTCTAAAGTAGTTTTATGGAGGAAGAAGGTTAAAACAATTTAATTACTTTACTTTACGCAGCACTTCAGATTAAATATAAGCATATACCTTGAACCTTCAACATTGCTGTCAGATTGTAACAGCACATATTTCTGATCTGGTGAGACTAAAAATGTTTCGGCATTTAACTGACGCTGTGAATGATTAGAAATTGTTTGTGTTATTGTTGTTGTAGTTATATTTACTTTTGGTAGAACTCAAATACTTACAAATGTTGAATTGGTCATTAGCACTCTTGTTGTGTAATTGTCTAGATTTAGTATGGAAAGGCCTCCACTCGGATCACGATATATGAGTTCAACATCTGTGTTTTGTACAATAATAATAAGAAAATACACATGAGTTAGATAAATGAATTAATTAATCTTAATGCAAATGCAACTGTGCCACCAGGCAAGTGAGTAATGTGATTTGCTAGGAGACGAAAATATTATTAATGAATTAATGGTGTTTTGTGTGTCTGCTTGCCACTTTCTTGGTTCTGATTTTTTGCAACAATTTTATGTTACAATTTATACCTACCATTGTTCCAAGTGCCGTTGAATGGCTTCCAACGTAAGCTCTTGCCCAATATATCATTTAGTATTAAATGTCTGCCACGTAAGTGTAAGCCTTCATCCTCTAAACATTAACAATAGAACGAATTAAATTAATATTATTCCTTACTTTGTCTTTTTTTGTTTTTTTTGTATTACTCATTTAATTAGCCTAATATAATTCATTATGTTAATTCGGTTGGACTCACCTGGTGTCAATAGAAAAATAGAAAATATGATGAGACTAAAAACTGCTGCTATTACTAGTAAAGCTATGAATATGCCTCGCCAATTTCGTCGCTCTGGTGATATGGCAACGAGTTCCTTAAAAGATAAAATGAAAATAGAAATTATTGAAATGTTTTTATTATTTGATCTCGAATTAAGAATAAAAGCTATAATAAAATACAAAATTATTATTACGAATTTTTACAGCATATAAGGAGAAAAATCAACATAAATAAATAATTATTCCATTGTCGAATTAATCATACAGACGACTTAAGTCGTCTTTAATCACCCAGTGTCGTTTATTACTACTCCTTTTATTTCTATACACAGAGGTATAGATTTTAATATAAAATATATAATATAGATAAATCACTCCTAACGAAAATATTTTTTAAAAAATTTGTTCAGAAATGAGTAAGATAGAGGGTCTGCGAGAAAGAAAGTCAGGCTTATCAACACCGAGTTATCGAAACAGAATAGTTACAGCCTCCTCAGGGAGGTATGCTGATCTGAGGTCAGTTATTGCTTAGTCTGAGGAAGTGATAAGTAATAATTTAGTCAAGACGTAGAGAGGGGTTATGAAGAAACCTCGCAGTTAATAGAGAGAGAAACTCAACTAGCCTCAACATAATAATAATAATAACACTGACAAAAGTTTTACCTTAAAAAAATTATTATTTATTAAAGCATTAATGTAAAGCTTGAATCTCATTTATACGTACTAACATAATAACATATACGTACATTGTGCATATACAGCAATACTTGGCCCTCTTCTCATATGTTTATATTAATTCAGCTATTAAATAAGCATTTTGCTTTAATAATTCAACAGTGAAATTTAATAATTTCTTCATATGGGTATGTGCTTTCTCCCTTAAAGTCCTGGCAACCACTTGTTGCTCTGCATACTTCATTCCTCACGCTGTGCTGCCACTCTCTTTGCTTTTCTTTGTTAATTTGTGCAAATTTGGAAACCTAATTCGCCTCTACGCCTATATGGCTTAAGAAGACTTTAGGCATTCGCTTGTTTTTATTTTATTTCCGATTGTAGTTAAATTATTTTTAATATGAAATTTTAATAAAAAAATTCATAAGAAAATAACGCATTTGTTTTTGAAAGCATGAAATTGTTTTATTCTAGAAATAAATCAATTTGAAAAGTACACAGACTACGGCAGTAAAAACTAATTTAATTTCGCTCATTCTTGACTTAGTATATGTGAAGATCTAATGTTTGTCTTAAGTGTAATAATATAAGAAATGTTTTAAACAAAAAAATACGGCAGCACAGATAAAAATATTTTAGTAAAATAGTGGGGTTTTTGAACAAGAAATGACGTTGTATTACAGTATTTATATTGAACCGTGGGAAGCAAGAATCGTTTAAAATAATTCAAACATTTTGATCAAAGCAAAATTTTTTGGGATCTAACTTATTGTACCTGTCAATCAGTGAGATGGGTGAGACTCCGCTTGAAACTCCCCAGCTATCAAAGAGTAAAAGTGCCCAGATGCACTAGCTCGGTAAAGGACATTCTATTATAAAGCACATTCTAGCCTCACTCTGCTGAATATATGTAAGTCGTCCCAGTAGATAGTAACACGACTTACGTTACCAGGTTTCATGTCTACACGTCTTCCATATTCTTCCATACAAAATGAAGCTATGTTATAGGAAACACAACTACATATCGAATAATGTTCAAAGGTTTTGTTTGAGAAATGACCTATCATTCTAAGGCTTTCCGTAGTTTTACTGTTAAATATTTAACATTAAGGTTAAGGACCGTTATATTGACCATAATTTCCAGTGCAGCTATTATTATTAGTACACTCCCTTTTTATATAACTCAACGAAACGTTAAATTCCTTCCGTTACCTTGAGGTATGTTGTTTTCCTTACAGTGGTTCACCACACCAAAGTATTTTGAGGTAAGTTTAATCTGACTGTTTGATGTATGCCATCAATGCATTCGTATAGGATATAGACCACAAATGACACCTTCTACCCTTTTATATGTGTATAATGCCTTACCGAGCTTTTTTATAGCAATTTGTTCTGCAATATTATTTTCATGGAAGTCTAAAAGAGTCAGTTCAGTGCACATTAGTCTCGGTAGATTTCACGCGAAGACCTTATACTTTATTGTAAGAGATAAGATCTCCGTGTCATAGGCGTTTACCTGCAACCCCGCTTGACTTGCTCATTGTTTTATTATATTACAGTGATATTGTTATTATTGTTTAAGTTTTACATAAATGTATTTGATAATTTTCATTTTGATATTTATTTGTTATATACTAGTATTTAAAATTAGAGCATAAAGACAAATGAACCGACAAATATATTCGATAAGTTATTAATTTTGAGCTTGATTTAAATGGTATTCGTAGTTTGTTTAAATTATATTATTTTTTCAGATGATTAAAGAAAAAAATGTATTTACTAGCAAACATAAATGACATAATTAAATATAATAGGTGTTATTTGAATAATCCCATTTAAAACCAATGCACTTGATACTCTATGTGGCTTGCAATTTATTAAAATCCTTTTATATTTAGATTTTTTTTAATACTAAGTTTATAATACTATTGTCGAAAACATTAAATACTAATTAATGCCATCAAATATCTTTTAATCAAACAATATTATTTTAATATGAATTTATTTTTATATTAAATTTATACTATTGGATTAATTTACATTTAAAATAATATTTAAAAATTTTGGGAAAATTTATATAAATATAGGCAAATGAAAATGACTAAAAAGTATAGCTGACATGAAACATATAGTTTTCTTTTGCCAAATAAGACTTGGCCTAGCCCACACAAGGTCATTGGAATTTGGTAAAAACCACTCGAAGAAACTTACGACAAACCACAAAGCAATTTCTTCACGCGCAAAAAGTATCTGAAACAAAAGCGAACATTTACATTTGTATTTATATAGACACTTTTTTATTGTTTATAAATTGTTTTTTATTTGCTTTCATTGCTTTCATTGTTTTCTATGTTTTTTGTGTTGTTTTATTCTATGTGTGCAAATATGTTTTAATAGCAATTTCAACGTCACTTTTATTGCGTTCTCCAGCATCCAATTCATCATTTGGCTGTGCCAAAAATCTGCTGAATTTCGTCGAATTTTTGTGCCTTTCATCAAGGCAAAAACTTTATGAGCTGCTCGGCGTCCCAAATTAGTATAGGTTTCTGTTTTCTTAAACATTCGGTTTTATTTTGGTTCGGTACATATTAAAAAAATATAAACATTGAGGTTGTTTATGCGAATTTTTTTTATATTCGTACTTAATATGCTTTGCATTGTACGTACTTTAGAATAAAAGAATGATTGATTCATTTCAATGTTATGCTTTCAATAAAAATTCTGAAAATCCGATGGAAGCCGGGCATTATGAAGGAATCTTTTGTTGTTTTTTTTCTGTTTTTGTTTTTGTTTACAATTCACCAAGACAAGCCGTGACCCTCGCAAAATATTCCACTTTTGTGTCCGAAAAGACCTAAATTTAAATGAATGATTCTCAAAAGAAATTTCTTAAGACTTTCATTATTGTTTTAATTTAAAACAAATCGTAATTTTACAAAATAAATATTCAAAGTATTTTAAGTGGCAATTAAGGCAAGCAGCTTTTTATTTAAAACAATTAAAATCGCTCAGTATTATTATTTTAAAACAGTTGGAATTTTGGTAATAAAAATTTAGAATTGTTTAAGTAATTTTTTTCTTTCTAATTGATTTAAATACAAAATGAGCAAATTAATACGTACAGAAGTTTGTATTAAAAAAAGAATCTTCAAAAAGGTGATGGGCCAAAGTATTCAGACAAATATGTGAAAAAATATTTACTAAAGAAAAACAGATCTGTTTATTATTCATCTATTTTTTTCTTTCCAAAAAAAACATTACAACTATTACTATTAATACTATTTATCATATAGTAAATAATAGTATTAAGAGACTGCTTTAATGTATGATCGCTTTATAGAAATAATTTTTTAAAAATTTTATATTAATATTATTATATTAATAAAATATATTCATTAATATTTATATTATATATTATATATATAATAAAAGATTTCTTAAATATTTTCCAATAAAGAATAAGTAGAAATAAAGTGACAACTAAAGGTTGTTTCTTTGTATCTTTAAAATATGTTAAAATTCTCAAAAGTGTACTCGTATTGCACAAATGTCTGTCACTCACAAAGTACTAGAAAAGAGGATCACTGTGTTCCCTCAAATCAAGGACACAAAAGCAACAAAATCGCAAACTTTAATCTTTAAAATCTGTTAGAATTCTCTATATTATAACCGTATCGCACAAATATCTGTCGCTCACAAAGTACTAGAAAATAGGATCACTGTGTTTTCTCAAATCAAGGACACAAAGACAACAAAATCGCAAACTTGTATCTTTAAAATCTGTTAGAATTATCTCTAGTATACTCGTATTACACAAATGTATGTCGCTCACAAAGTACTAGAAAAGAGGATCACTGTGTTCTCTCAAATCAAGAACACAAAGACAACAAAATCGCAAACTTGTACCTTTAAAATCTGTTGGAATTCTCTCTAGTATACTCGTATTGCACAAATGTATGTCGCTCACAAAGTACTAGAAAAGAGGATCACTGTGTTTCCTAAAATGAAGCACACGAACGCAACCAAATCGTGAATTATTTTATAAAACAAAAGGACCAATGTCAATTAAGTGGACTGAGAGACTTTATAATCTTACGAAAAAGCATAAACTTAGATGAAGAGAGTTATCTTAATTTTAAAAGCATTATCACTAAACTCTATTAGAATTTATTCAAATATATTGTACGACTGCATATTGCTCTCCAATGTATGACAAAATGAATCAATGAACCGTGTCACTTCGCTATGTGAAAGACACGAAGGCAATGAAAAGGCCGAAGGTCTTATCAAAAAAATAATCGAATATCAATTAAGTGAATTTAAGATATTCTGTAATCTTACGAAGGGATATATTATGGAAAAGCGACGGTAGCGTGAAGTATCTTATTTTCAGAAACACTGGGTAAGCTGAAACGTTCTTCGA